CTTAAGGGGCAGAGTAAATGCTGAAAGGATATTTCTCCTCACTGGAGAGTATAGGAATAGAGGGCATAGTCTCAGAATAAAAGGCACCAATTTTATACTCAGACAAGGAGGAATTTCTTCTCTCAGAGGGTTGTGAGTTTTTGGAACTCCTTGCTACAGACCACTATGGGGGGAGAATCTTTGTCATCATCATAGAATCCCTACAGTGTGGAAATGGGCCCTTTAGCCCAACAAGTCCACACTGACCCTCAGAGCATCCCAACCAGAACCCATCTCCCTATACTTCCCTAATCTACTCATCCCAGAACACTATGGGCAATTTAACATGACCAGTCCACCTAGCCTGCACATCTTTGGACTGTGGGAGGAAACCGGAGCACCCGGAGGAAACCCACGCAGACACGGGGAGAATGTGCAAACTCCACACAGACAGTTGCCCAAGGGTGGAATCAAACCCAGGTCCCTGGCGTTGTGAGGCAGCAGTGCTAAACACTGAGCCACCGTGCTGCCCCTTTGTGGATAATTAAGGCTGAGATGGATAGATTCTTGATCAGTGGGGGGGATCAAGGATTACGGGGAAAGGGCAGAAAAGTGGACATGACAAATGTTGAATCAACCATAATCCTATTGAATGGCAGAGAAAGCCTGATGGGCCAAATGGCCTACTCCTCTTCCTATTTCTTATGATCTAACATTATCATAGAAATCATAAAGAAATCAGACAAATCCAGCATTGAGTTAGAGTCATAGAGTAATACAGTATGAAAACAAGCCCTACCGCCCAAACAGGTCCGTACTAACCATGGTGCCCTGTCAGCCCATTCCAACTGCTTGCATTTTGTCCATGTCGCTCTAAACCCTTCTCATCCATATACCTATTCAAATCTTTTTTAATGTTGCTATTATACCTGCCTCAACAACTTTCTCTGGCAGCCCATTCCATATATACACCACTCTCTGCGTGAAGAAGTTGCCCCTCAGGTCCTTCTTAAATCTTTCCCCTCTCACCTTAAACCTATACCCTCTAGTTTTCAGTTCCCCATCCCTGGTAAAAAGATTGTATGCATTCATCCTATCTATGCCCCTCATGATTTAATACACCTCACTAAAGTCACCCTTCATTCTCCTACGTTCCAAGGAATAAAATCCTATCCTGGCCAACCTCTCCCTATAACTCAGGCCTACTAGTCCTGGCAACATTCTCGTGAATCATCTTTGCACACTTTCCAGTTTAACTATGTCTTTCCTAAAACAGGGTGGCCAAAACTGTACACAATACTCTAAGTGTGGCCTCACCAACGGCTTATACAATTGTAACATAACATCCCAATTCCTATACTCAATGCGTCAATCAATGAAGACCAGCGTGCCAAATGCCTTCTTCACCACCCTGTCCACTCTGTGATACTATTTTCCACAAACTATGTACTTGTACTCCTAGATCCCTCTGTTCCACAACACTCCTCAGGACCTTACCATTTGCTGTATAAGTCCTACCTTGATTTGACTTTCCAAAGTGCAACATCTCACACTTATCTGTATTGATTTGCATTTGCAAATCCTCAGTCCATTTCCCCATCTGATCAAGATCCCTCTGTAATTTTTGATAACCTTCTTCGCTATCAACAATAGCTCCTAATTTTATATCATCTGCAAACTTATTAATCATGCCTTGTACATTCACATCGAGATCATTTATGTAAATAACAAATCACAAAGGTCCCAGCACCGATCCCTGTGTACACCACTAGTCACAGGCCTCCAGTCCAAGAAACAACTTTCAACGATCACCTTCTGCTCCTTACATTGAGACAATTTTGAATCCAAATAGCGCTCCATTGATCCTATGGGATCTAACCTTCATGACCAGCCTGCTGTGCAGGACCTTGTCAAAGGCCTTACTAAAGTCCATATAGACAACACCCATTGCCCTACCCTCATCTCTCCTCTTGGTTACCTCTTTGAAAAACTCTGAAAAATTTACCAGACATGACTTCCTGCGCACGTATCCATGCTGACTATCCCTAATCAGACCTTGACTATCCAAATGTCGGTTGATCCTGTCCCTCAGTATCTGCTCCAATAACTTGCCTACCACTGATGTCGGTCTCACTGGCCTGTAGCTCCCTGGCTTGTCTTTGCTAACTTTCTTAAACAATGGTACAACGTTAGCCACCCTCCAGTCTTCTGGAACCTCACCAGTGGCTAAAGATGAAGCAAAAATCTCTGCAAAAAAGGGCCTGTACAATTTCTTCCCTCGTCTACCACAATGTCCAAGGATGGACTTAATCAGCCCCAGAGAATTTATCCACCTCAGTGTGCATTAAAACTGCACTACACTTCCTTTCTGATCATGTGTCTGCAATCCAAAGCATCCCCACTTGTTTCCCTTATTTCCTTAGCATCCATGATTCTCTCCTCAGTAAACACTGACGACAAATATTCATTAAAAATCTCCCCCACCTCCTGTAGCTCCACACATAGACAGCCATGCTGATTTTTAAGGGGACCTATTCTCTCCCTAGCCACCCTTTTACTCTTAGTATAGCTATAGAACCTCTTGGGATTATCTTAAACAATATCTGCCTGATCCATCTCGTACCCTCTTTTTGCTCTTTAGATTTATCTCTTAAGAGTGCTCGTACACTTTTTATAGTCATCTAGGAATTCACTTGAGCCCGATAGCTTAAACCCAATGTGTGCATTCTTCTTTTTCCTGACCAGGGCCTCAATATCCCTCGTCAGCCAGGGATTCCTAAACCTGCCAGCTTTTCCCTTCATCCTAACAATGACTTACTGTCCCTGGACTCTTGATACCACAGTTTTAAAAGCCTCTCATTTGCCAGTCATTCCTTTTCCTTCAAACAGACGCACCCAATTGACCTCTGCTACAGCCTGTCTAATGGCCCCAAAATTGGCCCTGCTCCAGTTTAGCACCTTAACTTGTGGACCTGTCCTATCTTTTTCAATAACTAAGAGAGTTATCGTCACTGGACTCCGACTGACACTTCACTCACTTGCCTGACCTCATTTCCTAAGAAGAGGTCCACTGTTACATCTCCCTAGTAGGGCCTCTACATATTGATTTAGGAAACTTTCTTGGACACATTTGACAAATTCCATCCCATCCGGGCCTTTCACACCCTGGGTAGCCCAGTCAATGCAGGGGAAGTTAAAATCTCCAACCAATACTGCTCTATTATTCATACAGGTATCTGCAATCTCTCCACACATCTGCTCCTCTAGTACCCGCTGGCTATTTGGGGGTCTATGATACAGTCCCAACTGAGTGACCATCCCCTTCTTGTTTCTAAGATCTAACCGTATGGCCTCATTTGATGACCCCTTAAGAATATCCTCTCTAAGCACTGTTGTAATGTCCTTCCTTATCAAAAGGGCAGCTCCCGCTCCTCGCTTACTTGTACTTCTGTCCCGCCTGTAGCTTCTGTATCCTGGAACACTGAGCTGCCAGTCCTGCCCTTCTGTCAGTCATGTTTCTGTTATGACTATAATATCCCAGTCCTCAGAGCCAATCCATGCTCTGAGCTCATCTGCCTTTCCAGTCAGGCGTCATACTTTGACATAAATGCACTTTAAACCAGAAGCCTTTTCTCTCCTTTTACTGTGCCCCTGGCTATCCTGAAAAGTAAACTTACTCTCGATGGCTAATGTATTTTCCCCCGATTTCTTGATGGCCCCTCTCTTATTCAGAGTCCCACCCCCCTCCACACCCACCACTAAACTGGTTTAAACCCTCCCAGGTAACATTCCCCGTGAGGATACCGGAATCCCTCCGGTTCAAGTGCAACCCGTCCCTCTTGTACAAGTTCCCTCTACCCTGGTCATCTCAATTGTATGCAGAAATTGTGAACAATCAGCTATATTGTTATAATCACAGATATTTATGTACAGCTATTCCTGTACTGGAACCCTGGAAGAGATCCCAATGATCCAAGAACTGAAAACTCTGCCCCCTACACCAGCTCCTCAGCCATGCATTCATCTGCTCTATCTTTCTATTTCTATTCTCGCTGGTGCGTGGCATTGGGAGCAATCCGGAGATCACTACCCTTGAGATGCTGCTTTTTAACTTCTTACCTAACTCCTTAGACTCATTTCACAGGACCCCATCTCTTTGCCTACTTATATCATTTGTACCGATATGCACAAGGACCTCTGGCTGTTCACCCTCCCCCTTGAGAATGTTCTGCAACCGCTCAGAGACATCCTTGACCATGACACCCAGGAGGCAACACACCATCCTGGTGTCTCTTCTGCAGCGACAGAATCTCCTGTCTGTCCCCCTCACAACTGAGCCTCCTATCAGTCTTGCTCTGTCTGACTGTACCCTTTCCCTCTGAGCCTCAGAGCCAGTCACAGTGCCACTGACCTGACTGTGCTGCTGCTGCTAGCCCCTGAAAGGTAACACTCCCCATCAACAGTATCCAAAGCGGAATACCTGTTATTGAGGGGAATGGCTACAGGGGAACCCTGTACTATCTGCCTTGCCACCCTTACCTCTTCTGGTGGTCACCCAGCTCCCTGCAGCCTGCACTTTAGGAGTGACCACTTCACTACAGCTCTTATCAATTATGTTCTCTGCACCCCGGATGATCCTGATTGCATTCAGCTCCCTAAAGCGGTCTGTCAGGAGATGTACGAGGCAATCCTAGAGTAAAGGAACATACTGATTGAAACCATAGAAAGTCATTCAGTCTGATGCGACTGATGTCACACTGCATTCAAACTGCTCTTCAAACAGCTTAAAAATGACTGAAGCCGGAAATATTATGCACAGAAAACCAAATTTCAATTTAAACTGCAAAGTCATTTCCAGAGCAGAGTTACCAGTCAGAATTCAAAGCTATCAACACGAGTTAGCAGCATGGCAACTTGGGACACCTGAGAAGTGGTCATCTCAATTGTATGCAGAAATTGTGAACAATCAGCTATATTGGTATAATCACAGATATTTATGTACAGCTATTCCTTTACTGTAGACAGCTGATAAGCGGTAACACCAACTACGCAGAGTACACAATAACCATCAGTTCCAGAGGTCCATCATTCCCCAACAATGAAAAGGGATCAATAGCACTCACCACAGGAATGACATTTGTCTATGAAGGAAGTTCAGGCAGAAATACATTGATGCTGGCTGAACAACCAACAACATGAGAAATCCTGCATGATTTAAAACACAGTGTGCAATGTGCATCTGCAGAGACAGATGAAAGCAGCAAAGGTAAGATTAACAGTTTTCTTCATGAATGATCATTTTCTTTATGGACCATTTATAGTAACTTATAATGATGAATGATAGTGCATACTTTGTTTTATTTATGAAAAGAGAGATGTTTGGAGATATGTGTTCATATATTGCACAACCCGACTTGCCACTGAGAGCGCTTATGTAGTCATTTCACTCACCATGTGAAATAGTCAGCACACACCTAAAGGATTTGTTTCTGTTAATCAGAGATTAGCTCTACATTCAAGGAATGAAAGCTCTTTACGTTAGTGAATGGAACTGTGCAGTCAATGTCCCTTGCAGCCTGTGGGGATCCAACAAGGGCAGGGAGTCCCGAGCTCTCGGGATTTCACAAATTCATTTGTACGTCACCTCTGTAAATGATTTGTGAGTGGACAGTGGTGATGTTCACGCATGTCTGCAGTGGGGCCCTCAGTGGAACTCAATGCCATCATTGGATTGCTTCCCAATGCTTGGGCTGCATGTCATCATGGAGAAGCTGATATATGTGAAGAATTAACCCCATGATGTCCTCAGCTAGACTCCAATATTCACAGATTTCTGCAGCTCCTGATGCCAGTGCTGACTATACCATTGACCCCTGGTTGTCAACATTCTGAGCAACTGGACTTTCTGCTGCCTGGTACTGTTACAATTCTAGCTGCTGTTGTCCCTGGCCCAATGGCCTCCCTCTACCACAGCTGCACCTGATTGAGCAGAAGTGCTGAGCTGGACTTGATCGATCCTTATGTCTGCCTCTGCTGATCTGGGAACACACTGTAGCTTACCATCTGGGCAATTTATTCTTTGAGGGCCTCCTTTCTGTTGCTGACCATTTCTGCCAACTGGGCACACCATATATTCAGGACCGAGCACACCCTGGCCTCTATCCACCCCACTGTGATCAACACCACCCAGATTGCTCTGTGCTGATGTGCAAGCATGCTGGTAATTGAATCCATGATATTTAAGGGGAAGCTGGATAAACACATGAGGAAGAAGGGTTCTCATGGTGAATTTAGATGAGGAGAGATTAAAAGAGGCTTAAGTGGAGCATAACTGCTAGCAGGAGCTTGTTGAGCCAAGGCTTGTTCCTGTGGTTTGTATACTTTATATTTATTTATTTAGGAGATGTGGCCATTATTGGCTAGAACAAGGATGCTTGGCTATCTTTAATGGCCCTTGAGAAAGTGGCGGTGAGCTGCAGTCTATGTTCATGTCTGTTTTATACTCTATGATAGAAATATAGAAAATGGGAGTGGGAGTAGGCCATTCAGCCCTTTGAGCCTGCTCCATTATTCAATATGATCATAGTTGATCATCCAACTCAATACCTTGTTCCCAATTTCTTCCCAGACCCTTTACCTTAACCTTACAACCTTTAAAAAAATATTTGGATGAATGCTTTAAATATCATAACATTCAAGAATATGGGACAAGTGCAGGAAATTGAGATTAGCTCACCTTTAGTGTAAGTTATGTCAGTGCAGACTCAATGGGCTGAAGGGCCTTTTATGTGCTGTATGAATCTTTGAACCCTTTATTTCTAAGAACTGGATCTAACTCCTTCTTGAAAACATTCAATGTTTTGGCCTCAACCACTTTCATCAGCAGACAATCCCACAGGCTCACCACTCTCTGGGTGAAGAAATTTCTCTTCAGCTCAGTCCTAAATGGCCTACCCCATTTCCTTAGTTTGTGTCCCCTGGTTCTGGACTTGCTGGTCATCAGGAACATCTTCTTGCATCTACCCAGTCCTGTCGTGTTAGAATTGTATAGTTTTCTGTGGGACTCCCCCTAATTCTTCTAAAGTCAAATGAATGTAGTTGTAACTGATCCTTCTTATGTCAGTACTACCATTCCAGGAATCAGCCTGATAAACCTTGGCACCTAGGAAATCATTGCAAAGCAGCAGCTCTAAGTCTAAGGCATAATCATCACTGTTGCCTAAACTTGAAAAGCCCAAATCCATGTCTTCATGTGCCATTAGTATGAAATAACTTTGATGTTTGCACAAGCAACAGAGGCTGAGGGGTGACTTTATAGAAGCTTATAAAAGCATGAGGGACACGGATAGGGTGAACAGTCAAGGTCTTTTCTCCAGGATAGGGGAATTCAAAACCAGAGGGCACAGGCTTAAGGTGAGAGGGGAAAGATTTAAAAGGGACCTAAGTGGCAACTTTTTTACACAGAGGATGGTATGTGTGTGGAATGAACTGCCAGAGGAATTGGTGGAGGCTGCTACAATTACAACATTTAAAAGGCATCTGAATGGGGACATGAATAGGAAGGGTTTAGAGGGATATGGGCCAAATGCTGGCAAATGGGCCTAGATTAATTTAGGATATTGTGTAATGAGCATTGTGTAATGAGAGAGGATTAATTAGCAACATTGTAGTGCAAGACCCTTTGGGGAACAGTGACTATAATATGGTAGAATTCTCCATTAAGTTGGAGAGTTACACAATTAAATCTGAAACTACGGTCCTGAACTTAAAGAAGACTAACTTTGATGGTATGAGGCATGCATTGGCTAGGATAAACTGGCCAAAGACACTTAAGGGGTTGATGGTTAAAGTTCACATGGATAACGTCAACAATTGTAAATCCCTGTCTGGCATAAGGGTAAAACAAGGGAAATCAATGATAGTGTTAAAGCCAAAGAGGAGGCATATAAATTAGCCAGAAAAAGCAGCAAATCTGAGGACTGGGAGAAATTTAAATTCAGCAGAGGAAGACAAAGGGTTTAATTCAGAAGGGGAAAATAGAATATGAAAGTAAGCTTGCAGAAAATATAAAAACTGACTGCAAAAGCTTCTATAGATATGTGAAGAGAAAACTACTGATGAAGACACATGTAGGTTCCTTGCAGTTAGAATCAGGTGAATTCATAATGGACAACAAAGAGGTGGCAGACCAGTTGAACAACTACTTTAGATCTGTCTTCACTAGGGAGGACACAAATAACCTTCAGGAAATGCTAGGGACAGAGGGTCAAGCATAAAAGGGGAACTGAGAGAAATCCTTATTAGTCAGGAAATGGTATTGGGGAAGTTGATGGAATTAAAACCCAATAGGCCCCCAAGGCCTGATGCTCTGCATTCCAGAGTACTAAAGGAAGTAGCCCTAGAAATAGCGGATGCATTGGTCATCATTTTCCAGCATTCTGTAGACTCTGAAAGAGTTCCAATAGACTGGAGGGTAGCTAACGTAACACCGCTCTTTAAAATAAGGAGGGAGAGAGAAAATGGGGAATTATAGGCTGGTTAGCCTGACATCAGTGATGGGGAAAATGCTGGAGTCAATTATTAAGAACATAATAACTGAGCAATTGGAAAGCAAGTGACAGAATCAGTCAGCATGGATTCGCTAAAGGGAAATCATGTTTGACAAATATTCAGGAATTTTTTGAGGATGTGACCAGTAGAGTGGACAAGGGTGAATCAGTAGATGTTGTGTATCTGGACTTTCAAAAAGCTTTTGACAAGGTCCCACAGAAGAGGTTAGTAAGCATAATTAAAGCTCATGGTATCGGAGGTAATATATTGACAGGGATAGAGAACTGGCTGGCAGCCAGTACACAGAGAGTTGGAATAAACGGGTCCTTTTCAGAGTGGCAGGCAGTGCGCAGGGTTCAGTGCTGGGACACCGGCTGCTCACAATATATATTAACAATTTAAATAAAGTAATTTAATGCAATATCTCCAAATTTGCAGATGACACTAAGCTGGGGCACAGTGTGTGCTGTGAGGAGGATGCTAAGAGGCTGCAGGGTGAATTGGACAGACTGGCTGAGGGGACCAATGCTTGGCAAATGCAATATAATGTGGATAAATGTGAGGTTATCCACTGGTGACAAAAACAGGAAGATAGATTATTATCTGAATGGTGGCAGTTTAGGAAAAGGTGAGGTGCAACAAGACCTGCATGTCATGGTGGAACAGTTGCTGAAGGTTGACATGCAGGTGCAGCAGGTGGTGAGGAAAGCTAATGGCATGCTGGCCTTCATAAAAGGAGGACTTGAGTATAGGAGTAGGGATGTCTTGCTGCAGTTATACAGGGCCTTGGTGAGCCACACCTTGAGTATTGTGTGCAGTTTTGGTCTCCTAGTCTGAGGCAGGGCATTCTTGCTGCTGAGGAAGTCCAGCAAAGGTTCATCAGACTGATTCCTGGGATGGCAGGACTGACATATGAGGAAAGACTGGGCTTGTATTTGTTGAAATTTAGAAGAATGAGGAGGCAATCTCATAGAAACATATAAAATCTTGATGGGACTGGATGGGCTAGATGAGGGAAGAATGTTCCCAATGTTGGGAATGTCCAGAACTAGGGGCCACAGTCTAAGAATGAGGGGTAAGCCATTCAGGACTGAGATGAGGAAGAATTTCTTCACACAGACATTTGTGAACTTGTGGAATTCTCACCCACAGGAAGTTGTTGGGGCCAGTTCATTAGATATATTCAACAGACAGCTGGATGTGGCCCTTGCAGCTAAAGGGATCAAGGGGTATGGGGAAAGGGATCAAGGGGTATGGGGAAAGGGTGGGATGGGATACTGAGATTGCATGATCAGCTATGATTGTATTGAATTTGGTGCAGGCTCGAAGGGCCAAATGGCCTACTCCTGCACCTATTTTCTATGTTTCTATGATGTCTGATTGGCAAGAATTAGTTGGACTGAAGGGTCAGTTTCCATGCTTTACATCTCTATGACTCTAAATGAGGTGTGGACCTCAAAGAGTGCAATCTGGAGCCTCTGGTTCCTTGTTTCAACAGAATTACCACTGAGCACCATTAACGCATGCAAGAAATCAGCAAAACCCAACTCAGGTATGGCATTAATAACCATTTTTGAATCCTGGATCATAAAATGAGCAATAAGGAGAATAATACTTTATACTAAATGAGAAAAGGGTGCTGATTAGTTGGAAAGTCAACACCGCTTAGTTGAGGCATTGTCATGGAGATTGCTCCATGTTACTGTTGTGCCCATG